CAAGGGCAGCCAGCCCTGCCCCTTGCGTGGGAACAGAGAACCCGCCCTGGGGGGGGGGGGGGGGGGGGGGGGCAGCCGGCTCCACGCGCAGGGCCAGGCACTGGCGCCGCCTCGTCTCCCCCCCCCTCCCACCCTCCTCTGTTCTCTCTGTTCCCTTGGTCGGTCTCTGCAAAGCGATGAGGTTTGCATTACTCGCAGTGTGTTGCTGGGTTTAATCACCAATGCGTTTCTACTACGTCTATGCACCCCACCTTCGTCGGCCAGCACTGAGCAGCTGAGCGGTATGGTGAAGTATGGTCGAATGACCTGCACGGTGAGGGGAGGGCCTCAATGCAGCAGTAGATTCACGAGGGGCCTTGCGTGAACTAATAACACCGATGCAGTTTTAAGATTCTACAATTTACATTACAAAAATATATATTAGAGCATTTGATGAAAATGCCAATGATTTTATTCACAAGGGTCCTGCGTTGGGATGTTTGACCAATTTAGTTAATGAGTATTTGGTATGTGTAAGAAAACTTGAGTACTGTACATACTCTAAAAAAACAACCATACATAGGAGGGGGTGACACTAAAAGCTCCGCACAGAGTCGAGAACCCATTGCTTTACTGACATCACCTGAGTGTCTTGAAGCCCCAAAGCCTAGAACCCCTGGTCACCCCAGGCCATCTCCCACCCAAATACTAACCAGGCTCAACCATGCTGAGATCCCACCATCTGTTGAGATTTGGTACATTGTGCGTGATTTGCTTATCGGAATATCACGATTTTATATATCGCAGGTTTAGTTGAACCAAAATAAAAAAAAAACATATTTGAAGAGCCGCAATGCACGTGAATACGAGAAGATGGTCCTTAATAAACAACGTCACGAAGCAATCCTTAAAGAGCCGCATGCGGGTCCAGACCCACAGGTTGCCGACCCCTACGATATACCCATCTCATGTCTTCATAAATATCCAGTCCTGTCTTCGCTTTTCCAAAGCCTCCACGACATTTACTGGAAACTGCCGTTTCACTGCAGGTAATGACCCAGAACAGTGTTCTTCACTAATTTTCGGGGGGAGGACACTTTCGCCGACAAGACATCATCAGTGTGAGGGCCGCCACACCATTTGAAACCATTGGAGTTTGACATTATTATGGGCTCTTTTCACTTTTGTGTATTGTCAGGGGCTCACGTCAGGGGCCGCACTAGTTTCAGTTTATTTATTTTGGTATAGCCCTGTGAGCCATTCGGCTCTTGAATAGGGTGCAACCACAACAAACAAAAACAACAAAAACACGAACAAGAAACATCTTAAAGTGACTATGTGACTGTGCAAACAGAAAATCCATGAAAAAAACAGCAAAATATTCCTGAAAAAAGCACCGTACACCAACGCTGTGTACAAAAAATCCCAGTGGGATGCAAGTCAAACAACAACCACAAGAAAACTTATATTAAGGCCACCAGGGGCCGCCAGTGGCCGGCGGGCCTTGCAATGAAGACCATCGGTCCAGAAGATGACAGACACTTATCCGAATTCTAGAGTTACTCCGATTGGCTGTTCATCCAACAGTAGATGGCGCTCTTTCGTGCTGTGTTTCATTTACACTCCCACTACGATACCATCCGCACGATTGTATACGTGTACATGCACAGCCCTTCCTCAGTCCACTGCTGGATGATGGCCTCACCATACCAATGTGGGTCGTAAGGGTTATCAGTGCAGGCTGATGAAAATGGGGAAGAGACACGCGGGAGCATGGCGTGCAGTACAACAATGGGGTTTTGCTGTTCACCTCAGTACCTGCTGTGCACGGAGGTTGCCCATCGAAACGCTATGTAGGCTCGACCCTACTTGGTTTCAGAGATCTGACGAGATCAGGCACATTCCAGGCGATTTGGTCATAGGCCCCTCAAACAATACGACGTGCATTTCTGCTTTGAAATACGTGCACCAATTTAAGTCACGTGCGTCACGTGAGACGTCTTCATGACCTGGTGAACACCGTTTGTGAAATGCTGAGATTTTTCTTATTTTGGATAAATAGACATGTAATTTAACTTCATTGTTATCATTCATTGTGTTCTAAATCTTCCATATTGACACCTAATCTATTGTAAATTGTGATAACAGTGAAAGTATGGTATGAACAGACAGAGGATTGCAAAATCTGGCACATGCGATATACAGTGCAGTACGTGCCATTGCAGTGATTGTATTTTAGATATGGATTATTGAAAGGACAGATTAATTCCATCTGTCTGTGGAATTAATCCCAGCCCAAAAGGCCTAAAGGCTTGTACATTGACCTTGATACAAATGCAATACATAAGAAACAAGCAGAGATAATTCCATCTGGATGTTGGCCTTCCAAAGGCATCGCTATCTACAGTATCCAGCTCCTCCTAGGGGAAACCCTTATCCAGCAGTAGATTAACGTGCATGTGACCAATCATATGGATGGTAAAATAGTTGGTGCAGAAATTAGTAGATACCTTATCTGGTGTGGTGGCAACGTAGGTGTCGGAGTAGGGGATATTTAGAATGAATAAAGGGGACACATTATTTAATGATGGCAGTGATGCAAAACAACAATGCACAAAAATCTCAACACATTCGTCAACAACAATTTCTTAAATTGAAAAATATATAATTATTCAAAATCTCATCCCTGAGAAGTGAAATATTGCTTTTACTGCCATTTGACCACTCATATGGCACAGTGGGTAGGGACATTCTGCCATCTGCTGTGTAGAACAAAGGTTACTTAAATGGATCTCAGAAGTAGCTTTGTGATATCCACTTCTGTGGGTCGTTCTCTAACACGGTTATACTGTTCTGCAAGACTTCTGATGGATTATTTGTCTCATTCGTTGAGTATTTGGCTGCTATAATTGCCCATATGATAAGCCACTTCGTTGAGCTATCATTTGTGGCCCGATCGCTTCTGAAATAGAGTTATATTGGTCCTTACCTGGTAAGATAAAAAAAAAGTTTTAGTTCAGATGGACGCCGATAGCACAAATTTGGAACACTAGGAAAAAAACCCCAGGACATACGACCCGTGGATCCCTTACATTGTAAAAGTATACGATAAATTCAAATGAGTTACCGGCGGCTAAATAAAGGACATCAAACAAGCCTTCTCTCCTGTCTCACCCCCACGTAACCCCAATCTCAATGCTTGCACCACCACCCTCTCTCTACCCCTCCCCCCATCACCCTCTACCCCGCACTGCCCGCCCCCTACCGGGCGCCACGTGATCGATCGATCGATCGGCTCGGCCGCTCTGCTGCGCGGGTCTGGGCGCGCGGGTAACGCGAGCCCCCCCCCCTACCCCCCATCCCCCCCCCTCCGCGTGTTTTTTTTCTTCCCGCGCGCGCCGCCGAGTCTAGACGATGGGGAGGGGGGAGGGGGCGCTGGGGAGGGGGGGGGAAGTGGGCGAGGGGGGTTGAGAGGAGGAGTTCGGGTTTAAGAGGGCGTGGCATAAAGCCGCTCGCAGCCAATGGTAATTCGAGCTCTCCTGTTAGATCCCGCCTTCTTTTAGTATTAACCCCTCCCTCTCATATTCTTGGGTCTTTCGGTAAAGTCACGTAGATAGGTTCAAAGAAAATTACAAAAAAATTACAAAAAACAAAAACTACGACGTTTCGATCGCAACACAGGCAACTGTCATCAGGATACAAAAAAATAGTGGGAAAGCTGGTGAGGCAGGATGTTCTAAAGATTTAAAATGGGTGTAGCCCAAGGGTCATAAGCGAAGAGGGCGGGGCTAGTGATGTTAAAGTGAAAAATGTGCATGTCAATGTAAGATCGGAGAGCCATCGAGGAAAACGAGCAACGGTGAATGTGTTAGTGAGACATTTAACCTGTTAATGTAAATACATTTAACCTATTCTTAGTTTTTTCGGTAAAACCATAACTCAAACGGTCATCACCTGATGATGACCGTTTGAGTTATGGTCGAAACGTCGTGAGAATTTTTTATTGTTTTATATATTTTGTTATTTTGTTGTTTCTCTTCAACGTGACTTTACCGAAAAAACTAAGAATATGAATTACTGCAGTCACGAAAGCTTTAAATCGACATTTAACCTGTTAATGTAAAACCAGGGAGTCGAACATAACTACTAACATTGGAAGGTAGGATGGAAAGATCACAGTCAGTTATGACTTAAACTGGTTAATATTCTCAGTTGAAATTGTCTCTATATATGTGGATGGCTTCATGAACGAATCTTTGTTGATAGCCAGTGGGCTTGCAAAGTACCTTCGTCTTAGAGAAATACATTTTGTGTGAGCCCACCGCATTAAAACAATGATCAGCCACGGCCGAGGTATTGGTCCTACCGTGTTTCAGATCTGCCTTATGTTCACGAACACGGTCCGAGACATGTCACTTAGTTTCCCCAATGTAACTACTGCCGCAGACACAGCTTAGTTTGTAGACGCCGGGGTATTTCGTGTCAGGGATCACGTCCTTCACAGATGCGATCAGATCACGAATTTTATTGTACCGTGTTAAATCGAGTCTGGATTTTGTGTTTGCTCATGATTTTGGAAATCATTTTGGAAATCATGAGCAAACACAAAACCAGGTTCGATTTAACACAGTACAGTACATAAAATTCGTGAAAATTTCTCACTTTGACATCACGAGCTCCGCCCACTTCGCTTGTGACCCTTGGGCTACACCAATTTCAAACCTTTAAAACATCCTGCCTCATCAGCTTTCCCGCTATTGTTTTTCTCCTGATGACGATTGCTTGTGTTGCGATCGAAACGTCGTAGTTTTTTTTTGTTATTTTCTTTGAACCTATCTACGTGACTTTACCGAAAGACCCAAGAATATGAATTCCTGCAGTCACGAAAGATATCATAAGTGTGGGGAGGGGGTGAGAGCCCTCTCCCCTCACTTACCCCGTAGGTCACGTCCCCTTTAAAATAAGACCACGCCCCCGTGGCTCCGCCCCGCCCCCGTGGCCCCGCCCCGACCCCCACGCCCCCGCCCCTCCGCACGCGCACACTCGCGGGAGCGCGCGCGCACACGCGACGACTCTCGGCCCCGTGCCTCGCGCTCCTCTTGTTCCCCCCATTTAACCATTAGTATTGTTGTTATTATTATAGTTAGAACATCGTCGTTGTTATCTTTAATGTCATTTTTTTCTTTCTTCCAGGGGTAGGTTTTTTTTCCCAAAAAAAAGTTTGCATCGATTCGGGGTCAAAATTATGTTTTCGTGAAGGAGGTGAGGGGGAGGTGAAAAATAATGTTTTATTTACGTTATTCTTTTCCGCTAGCGCCGCTCGCCGCCTCCTCCGCCGCCGTATAAATGCCCTGCCGCCCGTAGAGCGCTGCTCATCGGTGGCGTTAATGCCACGACGAGTGGTCCAGTGCCTCGTTAGTTTTAATTAATGCGTTCTGACTGCTGCTGCTGCTGCGTTCTAACTAACTAACTAGCGCTTCACCGTGCGAGTGAGCGAGCGATAGCAACACGGCCGAAAGCCCTCGCGGTCCTTTTTTTACATTTAGCCGCAACCATTTGTGTTGGGTTACTCCGCGGTACGGCAACTGCTTTATATGCTACAATTTGCACGAGGTTTTTTTTGTTAGTAGCTTCGTTTATTTTGCATTGTAGCTTATGGTCGCTTATAAGCCGCCCCGGGGTTCGTGTACGTGGGGCCTGGGGGCCCCGAACAGCCGGGGGTGGTTCGGGTTCGAATCCGGGCAAAGGTTATCGGGGTTACTACGAGTTACTCAGAATTAAGAGTAAGGTTAACTTCAGGTTGGAGTCTTGGTAAGGTTAACATTCCTTGCAAAGATAACATCTTAACTATTTAGTTTGGATAAAGGTGATTTGTATAACGGTTGTAGATAGATTACCTGCTAATGTTTTGGTAAGAAGGGTTAAGAAGTCGGGGCTAAGAGGTAAAAAGTCACGGCGTGGAGCTGAACTGCGGCGGTAGTCGGCTTCGAGGGTTGGTGCCGGGTTTCTGGAGTTGCAAACGGGTTAGGGGTATTAGAATCGGCATAAGAATTAGTACCGAGGCAGATACGGGTCAGCTTAAGGGATTGTAATCAGGGCTAGAAGTGAGTGGTGTCCGAGCTTGGGACAAGGGGCGGTCAGCTCTGTACCCCTCGAGGCCCCCGGGAAGGCAGGCGGCGGAGGGGGGGTGGTGGTGCTGCTGCTGTCGCTCTGCTGTCTCCGCCGCCGCCGGGGGCGGTGGGAGTTCGAGGCAGCTTGGAGGGGAGGAGCGGGGGTGGTGCGACCCAGACGCTCGTCGCCATTCGTCGGGGCCCCGGAGGTCTGGATGGTGCCCCATGCCCGCGGGCCCCGCCGCCCTGCCCCCGCCGGGCCGCGGTCGCGCCGCCGCCGCCGCTAGGGCCGCCCGCCCGCCCGGCCTCCCCGACCTCCCCGGCCCCCCCGGCCTCGCCTCCTCGCATGTTCCGCTCCCGGCGCTCGGGCCTCGTCCGGCGACTGTGGCGCGGCCGAGCCGCCGCAGCCTCCGCCGCCGTCTCGTCCTCCCCGTCGTCTCCTCCGTCCCTATTGCTGTCGTCGTTGGCGTCGAGCATGAGGTGCGAGGAGGCGACCGAGACGCGGAGGCGCCGTGGGCGCGGAGACGAAGAGGAGGACGACGACGAGGAGGAGGAGGACGGCGGAGGGGGGGCAGAAGGAAGGGACGGCGCCGCTTGCGCTGCCTACAAAGCGCTCACGCACGCCCTGCTCAAGCGCCTCAAGGAGAAGCAGCTGGAGGCGCTGCTGCAGGCCGTGGAGAGCCGCGGCGGGGCCCGCACGGCCTGCGTGCTCGTCCCGATCGAGGGTCCGGCCTCCCGCTCTTCGCCCCGCCTCGGAGGACCCTCGGTCCCGGAGGCCGACTGCGGTCTCTCGCCGCCGCCGCTGTCGCCGCACGTGTTGCTCTGCCGGCTGTTCCGCTGGCCCGAGGTGCGGCACTCGGCCGAGTTGAAGAGGCTGAGCGTGTGCGGACAGCATGGCCGCGCCGAGGGCGACTCGGTGTGCTGCAACCCCTACCACCTGAGCAGGCTGTGCGGGCCAGGTGAGACGGGGTGGGGAACGCGGGGAAGGTGGGCCCGCAGCTAGACGGGTCACGTAGGCACGGGACACACAAACCTAGCACGTGAGACAGACCACGGGTCATTGGAAACGGGGGACATGGGGCACAGATTGCACGCACGGCAGCCGCATGGCACAGACGGGGGGGGGGGGGGTCATGGACATCGGAGACACAGGGCTCAGTTAAATGGGGCATGGGGGCACAAGTGCTTCGGGGCCATGGGGACTTCGAGGGCATCGGGAAACTGGAGCCCAGGGCTGTGACAGGGGGGGAATTAACACCACCGCATCGGTAAAATGGATGTTGAACTTCGTTTCCAGAAATGATTTTTTTTCTTCAAAATAACGCTCAAGTATGCGAGCTTGACCCAATTGGCAGAAAATGTTGACTCCTTACCCTCATGTTATACCTGGCTAAACCGTTAGCCATAAATCTAGCCCTAACCTTTTAAATTTCCGTCCCATCTATACCCAACGTTTAACCTTGCCTCAAGCTTGTTAATATATATAATTCTATCCTTAATCCCATTCGTAACCATAATTTAGTTTCTAATCCTGGCCTTGCCCTTGTACATAAACGCAGTCCTAACATTAGCCGTCACCTTAACATTGTTAGTGACACTGCCCCTAACCCAAGTGCATACCCAAACCCCAACACTACCGTAATTATATCCCAAACCGTAAACTTAGCCCTTAACCCTATCCCCTAACCTCGGTCTTAACCTCTAACCCCCAGCCCTAACCCTTACCAGCGTCTGAATGACAAGCAGAGTAATTCCAAGTTGGATTTTCAATACTGAGCTGGCAGCTCTGGTTCGTCCGCTACTCATTGCAAATATACAAAAGGATTTGTTATTTATATGCACAGACTAAGGCTTTCTTACATCGTGTGCGGGCCTTTGGGGTTATTTGACCATAGTTTACTATTGTGGTCAGTGCGGGTTGAGTGAATGTTTAGAGCTTGGACGTTTGCATCTTTTTTTGCACAGGCCATTTGCTTGATTCTTCTTTCGTACGGCTGACGTACATGCTGAGCAGCAACTACAATTTCACATTCAGGTGGTCAAGTCCAGATAACCACATCAGTTAGCAGTGGAAGTGTATCATCGCTGCGATGTCTACCTTCGTATTTGTGGCTCGGGCATTGCGTCGTTATATATTGCATGGTCTGTTGTGCACATCTGCTGACCATCTCGTAGCACACCTATTAAAACCTGTTGTGCGAGGTGGTGACCCATCCAAGCACTATCCAGGACTTAACTCTGCTTATCTTTCCTAAATCTGACGAGATCAATCTCGTTCTGGGTAATTAGGTCAAAGGCTTTTATCCACAATAAGCGGTGTAGATTATCCAAGTTCACTCACGTGCCTTTTGGAGATTTAAGGCTGTTTCTTGGGGTTGGTGTACAATTGTAATGGCAGTGGAGGCTGGAGCAGAGGCAAGCAAGCATAACCATGAAGGGTGTGTGTGTGCAGTGGTTATTAATAAGGGAATTTTTTTGGTTCTTCTGTTCGTGGCTTTCAAACGAGTGCTTTCGTGTGTTTTTTTTTAATAAAGGTGAAATGAGATAGAAAATGGGCCCCCCGAATGTAAATGCCGGAGTGTCAATATGCTATTTGTTAAAAACAATTACAACTCTTGAGGGGTGCAGAAACAATTATCTTCACCTCGAAATGGTATAAAACAAGTTTCAGTCGTCTGCTTTCACTGTGAATACAATGGATAACAACAACGATTCATTATCGAGAAGAGGAGTGTGGTATTTGGCTTTGAACTTGTGGCGCAAGAGAGTGTGGGCTCAGGGGGAGTTTGAAACTGGCCAGCAGAAGAGAGGGAGCGACAACCGCCCACCCAACAGATTGATCACACAGTGCATGATGCAGTGGAGTTGTTACATATATTTTTTTACTGCTCATTATTAGACCGAGTGAGCTGATTTATACGATCGTCGGTTTTTTACTACGTACAAGAGACACCTGGGGGAAAACCCCACAAGTTGTAAGCGGGGGGGGGGGGGAGAAGAAGATGATGCAAAAAAAAGCAACATTACATACATCTTGATTTAAAGCTTTCGTGACTGCAGGGATTAATATTCTTGGTTCTTTCGGTAAAGTCACGTAGAAGGGAAACGATAAAATAATACAAATATCAAACAATAAAATTCTCACGACGTTTCGACTGCAACACAAGCAATCATCATCAGGTGTGATGATGATCAGGTGTGATGATGATTGCTTGTGTTGCAGTCGAAACGTCGTGAGAATTTTATTGTTTTATATTTGTATTATTTTATTGTTTCCCTTCTACGTGACTTTACCGAAAGAACCAAGAATATTACATACATCGTTATGGTACTGAAGATAAATGTGAAACAGTTCTGGTATTCACTTTAGTAATTGTCAAAAGTAAGATTGTATCGTGCCAGCCAATATTGTATTTTTATTAACGATTGTTTAAAAAAAATATACCCATACATATGGTTTCTGATTCCAATTTATTGTAATCTAGTAAGCAACAGAACAATTGTGTGCCAAAGTAATACCTCAAATGACGACTGAAATTGTAAATGTATGCAGAAATCTTATTTTGTGTTACTCATACTGTTTTCTATATATCAGCTGTATTTGTGCATATGTAAGTCTGCTAGGTTGTTCACAACCACAGAAACCCAAATATAGGATGCTCTCAGCAGGTATGAAAGGCAAAGTATTTGCTTACCCAGCGAGGCGTGTGGGTTCAAAGCGACATGCCAAAGAAAACTTTCCCAAGAATTTCATGTGTAACTGTAGGGTTGTCCTGCCAGGTCGCACCTTTGCGATGCATCCATTGTGTTTAAAGTTTGTTACAAATAGTCTTAATAAACACTCTGCAGCGTGTTTGTAGCGTGTAGCACAGCCAAATATCACGTGTAATTTACTTGTTTGCTAGGGAGACATTTTTAATCGGACACCGCAAATGTAGAACATGAAAAAATGTGCGACATTTGTAAATGGTCTGGTTATCCAACGTTTAAAGTTGTGTAAATGCCACAGACGTATTATTTTATTCTGTGCTGCCTCGTGCCTTTAGTCTAAAAGTGAGAAGGTACAAAAATTGGAAAGATGAGTTCAGATACGATTTTGGACAAGTGTGTTAGGCTCGTTTTGGAAAAGGTGACTGTCTTGGCATAACCTATGGTGTAAAATCTTACAAGAGGAATTGCTGTAGGTTCATTGGGCCTTTTTATTGGCGTCCGGTGGACTATGCAGGCAAATGTCTATGACCAAATCGTGCTAAAATATGCTGGTGTTGTCAGACCTTTGAAGCTAAGCAGAGTTTTGCCTGGTTATTTGGATGGGCTGCTGCCAGTATTTGCCAGGTGTTGTATGCATGGGGCTTTTAGTTGTGACCAGGGGATAGCAGTGCTGAATGTTTTCATTTTTTGTATGTTTTTTTAGTTTTCTCCAGGTACTCTGGTTTCCTCTGACATCCCACTCATTCATTAATGGTATTAGCCACACATCATGATGTAGGACCTTTCTGTAGACGAAGAGGACGACGACATTGGCATTAAATACATTGCAATTTTAATGATTTCTTATGACAAAATCGCCCAGAATGAGCCCAATCTCACTGGATCTCGAAAATTAAGCAAAGTTGAGCTTGGATTGTGTTTGGGTGGGTGATCACCATGCAAAAAACAGGTTGTTAGCTTTGTCGGGTTACGTGGTGGACAGCAAAGGGCATTCCAGCAAAATCAGTTGTCTTGTATTCCATGCTTCCAGGTTTATGCTCACCATCTTCAACCCTCACCAGTAAGGTGAAGTATGGTCAAATAACCCCCACAACCCGCACGGGGATGGCAGGCCCTCATGTAGCAGTGGATTAGCAATGTGCAGATGTAGCATGAGGATGGGGCATTGTTCAGCAGCTTTCACACGTCAATGATTTTACTTTAGATGCATTGACTGCGTCATGGATTGGGAGATTTTGGTCACTTGCAAGTTATGCAAAAGTATGACTGCAATAGAGATTGGGGAACGGTCTTAGGATCACAAAGTATTATATAATTGTACAACCTTTGCAGTGCAAATATTTGTTTGCCAACCAGGGCTGATACGTTTTATAGCAATACAGGATGTTTAAAATTTATATGTGTGTTTGTAACAAAACCAAGGTTTTATGATGATTTGCACTATTTCATAAGCATGTATGTTATTTCGCTTACACTACATAAAGCTTTGCAAATGAATGAAGGCGTTCATTCAGATAAACACACATTGAACTGCATCTTAAGCTTTCACTTTATGGTTTGTGAAAATGAAACGTCCAAAAGAACATATATACAGTATATGCATATTTTAAAATCTACTTGCTAACCCTTTTTATCAGGTTCCAATTTTAAATGTTCAATATCTGAATCAATGTTATGCAGAATTTCCTCGTTAAAGTGATGAGTCTCAAAATAGTATTACAAAATATAATTCCTGGTGTGAGGCTATTCAGCTATGCTAAGATACTGGATGTGTGTAGTGTGTAATACACATGCATATTTCGTAACACATATACATATTCCTAACGGTTGTTATCCAGGTGTTTTATATTTTGGCTCCATATTGTTATGCGCTTTCATAACCGGCATCAAACCAAAATCCATTATAGTACTGTATATATTCGGGCATAACTGTACGCTGCTTTCCTGTTGGAGTTCACAATTTCTTTTAATCATAGCTATCACCATTTTTGTCATCTGATGGAAGAAAAACAAAATCATACGCTGTCCTTTTAATGTCTCCTCGCTACCTTATCATTTTATTTATTGCTCTTTGAACATCAGGGAGAGTGGGTGGGTCTTGCCTGGGACGTTGCATTTGAAACAGGGGCGTGTTGGTGCGAGTCCAGTTGCATCAAGACGCCTCAATTATAGCGTAGTGTAACTGTCGCTACATGGCTACACCAGCGTCGGTAGTGAATACATTTTCCACAACTTTTTTTGTCGGACGCAAGCACTTGGCCAAAAAAAACCCCCACCAGCGGCCTCCCCCTCCCCTCCAAAATAAATTCTGTGATTGTACAGTGCGTTTACGGTTGTACCCACGGGACCGAATTTCAACGTTTTTTTTGGTGATCTGAGTGTTTAAATACCTGAGTCCCGCTTCTCTTTTTGAGGGGTTGGTGGAATGGTGGGAACTTGGCATGAAACGTGCTGCGCGCGAGAGGCCTAGCGAGGGGTGGGGTTTGGGGATAAGGGTGGGCGGGAGGCGGAGGGAAACGTCGGGGTTTGAGCGATTAGTAGAGACTTGCGCATACATGCCTGGCGCCAGCCGAGACTTTTGTTTATCTGGGGAGAGACCGAAATCTCTTTTGCCCCTTGGACTGCCCGCAACAAACGCAGAGCAAACACAAAGAATAACAAAGCGGGCTGTTTTGGTTAATGCTTCCCTCCCGCCTGTCTGACTCTTGCGTGGAATAAACAAGGCTAAGCAAAAAAATAAAAAAATAGAGCCACAGACGGCAGACTGATAAATGCCCAATAATCCCTTTTTCTGCCTCTTGTATGTGGTCAGCTCTTATGGTCGTTATCACTTATCATTGCCAGCTAATTTTCACTTGCTTTGTGGGGTAAGTAGGGTTCTTTTTTCAGCCCGTTGGAAATTCCTTCTGTGCACATCCATATAAAGTTATTGATATTCCACTGTATCTGTGGTTGCCACGTTCAGTGTGATTCTTTGAGTATTTTACTGTTTTAGTTTATACGTTATAAGCGTGCTATTGATTGTGTTATTTTATGCTAGAAAAAAAGTATTTATGGTGAAGGAAACGTGGTTTAATATTCCATTCTAAAATGTGTGTTTTTGTCAACCATTTTAACAGAATCACCCCCACCTCCCTACTCACGCTTCCCTATGGTGGAGCAGAGTAAATCTGCGGGTAAGTTCAGTAACCTCACTCGCCTCTTCTCTCATCTCCAACCGCTCCAAATGTTCCAATCTCCCAATCCAACACAACGCAATTAAGCACAGTTTGTTTTATAACTATTTGACACGTAATGAAGAACATCCATCCTGATGTTGATGGAAACATATAAATGCATTCTTTATTGGAAACTTGCTTCTTAAACTTTTTTTCTAAATTAATTCTCTTATTAGTAAACCAATATATTTTAACTTGCTTTCCGTTCAAGTATTGCTGGTTGGTAAACTAAATGAATGTGTCAAGTTCATTTTTATTTAAAGCTTTTGTGACTGCAGGGATTCATATTTTTGGTTCTTTCGGTAAAGTCATGTAGAAGGGAAACAATAAAAATATAAAACAATTACATTCTCAGGACGTTTCGACTGCAACACAAGCAATCGTCGTCAGGTGTGAAAACCACAGCAAGAAAATTTGAAAAAGGTGGCGTATTTTTTAACGTTAGCACCACGGAGAGCGATTTGACAGTTTGTTCAGATGGACGAGTCCATCTATGTTCGGAAAAGAGGAGGGGGGAGACAAAAATAATGGATGCGGTCTGAAAGCCACCGTAAGCGTGAACAATCAATTAAGACCCGAAATGGTTTAACAAATGCTTCCATTTATTGTTTCTCTTCTACGTGACTTTACCGAAAGAACCAAGAATATGTCAAGTTCATGTTTGTTGCCCCTCATTATTTCATAACTGCTTGTTTTTCTACAGAATTACATTACGTCATATACCTGGTTATCACGTTTTACAAAGCTTTATATCTTGTTTAATGTTACAGATCTCTCTGAATCGACAACTTCATCTACAGAAACAGGAGCTTCACAAAGTCCACCGCAGTTTTCTGGTAAGCATCTAACATACAAATCACGTGCCATGGGTCGTTCGAATCGGATTGCGTCGATATGGATAGTGTTTCAAATATCTGGCACATCCAAAATGTCTGCAGCTCGTGCAAAAACAATGATGCAGTATAATTGAGAATGGTACACATCATGCTTGTCTTTATCTTATGCCTATATCGGCTTGTAGCTGTGCATTTTTGAGACGTACAGACATACCCGCATGGGTATACGTTTTAAACCACATTTTCCTAAGGCAATGAAATGCCCTCTCCGATTACTGCAAGTGAAGTTGAGTTGAGAGGTTGCAAGAAGGATTAATAAATAAATTACATTTACTTTTCCTTCTGCTTTTCCTGACGTGTACAAGAAAGACAGCTAAGACCTGCGTTCAGTACAGTTAAGATAAAGTAGTACAGCGCTGCGATAGAATGTAAGTAGTCGCCAGTAGTCGCCGTCGTGTTTGAAGAGAAGGCAAGAGAGATGAGGAATGAAGACAACCGGATTGTGTCAAGAGTAAGATGACGGACAGATAATTGCCGTGGCGCCCTCATGCCATGTAATTACAAGGACAGCAGGTGATGGTTACCTGTAATCGTCCGCGCATACCTTTCATGCGTCTGGTTAAGGGAGGGGCTTGCAGCCAGTCGGGTGTATGTGCGTTTTTGTGTAATTTCTCTCAAGAGTTTGGGGTGTCTTCGTGCGGTGTGTGTGCAACACTGCTTCCTTTGAACATGTACAAAATTGGTTATTCTTGCATATTCGTGTGATTAAGCTACAAATATAGTCAAGGTTTTGTACACTTTTGCAAACTACCTCGAGCATCGTGCTATCAGTTTTTAACTTAATTTTTAAAGTTAGTATACATGTTTTAAAGTATAGTGTTGTGTGAATTATAACTGAAACACATTGAACGTGTGGGCCGTACTTTGTTGGCTGAGCTTGTGTGACCATACTAGTATAATCCTCATTCCAAAGTTAAGCGTATACACATTTGAATAAATTTGAGTTGATAGTGACTTGACATGGTTTAACAGTTAGGTGTGAAACGGGTGTAATGAATAAACCAGGAATGATAATGTCAGTAGGAGCAGTCAAAAACAGTGCAAGAATCTCCAGTTAATAAATGGCAGAAGGGAGTGGATAACACAGATTTCATGCTGTGTGTGAGTGAAGGGTTTATGACCTACAGTTGTAAAGTCTGAGACAAATGAATGGAGAACCAGAGTCCTTTATCGTTTGCAAAATGATGTGCCTTGGAAGACAAAAGTAATGAAGAAACGTTGAAAGCACCAATATGCTCAATCTATTTTATGTTCTTCGGGTTTTTTTTGCACTTGAAATTGTGCCGTTTTTTTCCCCTTCATATTAGTTAGCAGGATCGACTGGACGTTGGAGGACTTTCCATTGATTCAATTTGCATAGGATCTATGATTCCATTTTAGCAGCTTGGGCATAGTCGGTAGGCATTACGTAAGACTGCAGGGCAATTTCTTTAAGGTAATCTTGATTTGAAGCTTTTGTGACTGCAGTAATCCATACTCGTTGGTTCTTTCGGTAAAGTCATGTAGGTAGAAATAAAATTATTTAAGGCAGATAATATATATTTTTACTACATTAACAAAGGTAGCCCGAAATCCCACATTTGTAAATGACCTTGAGCCACAAAAAGTTTTAAAATGAATATAAACCATTTGTACCTTTATTATCAAAAAAGGATATCTACTTTGCAGGCTACATTATATTTAACGTGTTCATCCTAATTCTAAGTAAAGGAAATTAAGTTTAAAATTAGAACTACCACTTAGTAACGAAAAGGGTGGTGCATCATCAGGATATTGGAGATTATAATTATACCAAAAAATACTTCATTTCTGAAATAAATACTTGTTTCATTTGCGCATGTAAGATGTTGCAAAGGTTTAAGTTTAACTCGTTTGTGAAATTTGATAGTCAATCTGCATGGTTTTGAGTATTTACTTACACTTATACAGATTATATTGAATATAATTATAGCAAATTCACTGCAACTTTTGTACACACGGTAATTAAATATTTACATGTCTGCTCAAAAGAACAGTTTTTGGTAATGCGAGTTTAGATAAACGTTACACCTTACATAAACAATAGGACGCATGTAATATATGCCTCTAACACGCAAAAGTGAAGGTCTTGCAGCGAAAGTACACTTCAGTGAAACTCAAGTTTTTAATTGTAAAATTTACTGTAAACTGCACATTACACAGTTGAACATGCCACATGCCAGCCTGCAATAAGTGGTGGATGATTAAAGTAAAGTAGTTGAAGTTGAATTCGGCTGTAATATATAGGGTGACAGTTGCTCGCAGTATTTTGTTTGCAGTCCACATTTAACTATAATGGAGCAGAATGATTTAAACTGTTAACACTTGTTGGGACTAGATCAGCATTTAAAGCACTTAGAAAAAAATGTGTGTACGTTAACCTTGTTGGCTAAAAATGGTTTGCTAAAGCGCTTAAGTATAAGCACATGGTAATGCAGTCCCGTGTGTATGAGGCATTAGTTTCATGGCAGGGTGCGTGAATGAGGTTGGTCATACTTGGCTTAATATTCCGTGGGTTAATTTACACTGAAGACCTAAAATGACTTCCCACTACAGATTGTGCGACAGGATTAACTAAGTGGCACCAAATGATATTGGCAGTCTGTCTGTGCTTTCATTCTGAAAAAAAATACTCATGCTGATTGCCAACTTTCAGGGGTGATTCATTCATATTTAGGAAATGCTTTTAGGTAGGAAACTGGTGTGGCCTACTGTGTGTATAGAGTTTTCAGTCCAATTCTCTCTTGGGTCCATGACTAACTTGATAAAGTGAAGACAGCAGTTTCTGGTTGGTACAATCGCACGGTCTCGGTACTCCTCCCACCATTCCCTTGGGGATTTGAACGGGAAAAGCGGCTTGCGGAAACAATGAGGCTAGAGTACTTCCATCCTGTCGCCTTGCCTGGTCGTGCGGGATCAGTTTTGTCACATGACTTTTCTGTGGAAAGTTTTGGCGTTATAGACAATCGTGCCTGCTTTAAAGGTTTGCTGCCGTTTGCACAAGACCATTGAATGGGTAGCACTGGCACCCTTATACATTCCTTGTCTGCGCCACTATTTTTTGTTTTTTTTAGCCATATATATTTTTTTTCCTTTTCCCTTACTCTCCCTTTGCTTTGCCTGTGTTGTTCTCGCCTTGTCACTCTTCCCCTCCCCACACAACCCCAATCCTTTCCACCGCACCCCCCTCCCCAACACAGCACACGCACACCCTCAGGGAACAGCCTTCCTGGCTCCTGTTCAAGTTTAAACTGCAACCCCCTCCTCTAAACAGACCATTCCGTGCAAAGTAACTTCAAGCCAGAAATGTCTCTCAGTCCATGATGAACACAGACTACCCCCTCAAGGTCTTACAAGCATTATTAGTCATTATTTAACACCAAATGTCACTTATAGGCATACATACATATTCCACTTCAAATGTCAAGTAGAAAATGCAAGTTCAGAAATATTATTTATTTGGATAATGTTTTTCATGAGGTGTTTTACAAATATCACGTTTTTTCAATTATTCAAGCAGTCAATAATCAACTATTGTATAAAATCGCATTAAAGACCACTTTTCCACTGTTAAGAGACATAACATATTTCAATTTATGCTGTCTATTGTGCCGGTGTGACTTTCGTTTTTTTACAAGTGGTCTGTAATTCCCGTTTGGCATGAGTCTGGTTTACGAGTTCGCCTTGCCTAATTCCCCCCCCCCCTTCTTTCATTCTGCCTTGCTTCTTCCCATCGCGTGCAGTGATTTTTACGATGGCTTTCGGTCTTAATAACCTCCTCCAGACCTCAAAACCCCTACCCTCACCCTTTCCTCCCCCATCCAGTTCCCTTCCTCCAACATCCACAACCAGGCTTCCTACTTGCCCTCCCCAACAAAAAAATTCAAATTGCATGCAGGACTTCATCTGATACAGGAGCGTGGGGTAATTTGGGGCACACTGCGAAGGAGAGCTTTGTCGCTGCCATAAAACCAACTTCTTCTTTCGTACGGCTGATGTAGATGCTGAGCAGCAACTATAATTTCACATTCAGGTGGGTCAAGCCAGATAACCGCGTGAGGAGCAGTGGAGTGTATCACTGTAATGTCTCCTTTGTATTTGTGGATCGAGAATTGCGTCGTTACATGTTGTACTGTCTGTTCTGGATGACCACGGACGTATATCGGAGAGTTTTAACTTTACATTTGCGCATCAGTTATCCGCATCTGCCATGGTTTGTTCGGGTGTGGATTAAACCAACTTCTTGACTATCACTGCCACCCCTTAGTTTATCCCGTAATTTGAAACCAGAGAAATAGAATGGGTTTGGGAGCGAGAGAGCAGAATGAGCAGTTCTTGCCTGTACAGCCTGTGGCCTCATGGTATGAATTCCTTTCAGGTTAGACTTGAGATTGTGCCTTTTAATTAATGATCAGGAACGCAGAAAGGTGGCCGCCCCACGGAAAATTATAGGGTCTTATGTGCACAAATCGCTATGTTCCTGTGGGCCAAGGTTTGGTTTACGAATTGTTGTATGTAATGCCTTGTTTTTTAAATTTATCTTGAAGCAAAAATGTGACGAAGCATGTTATATGAATGTATTTGTAAATCTGCAAGAAATATAACTAGAGACAATTTATGTTCTTGCACTACCACCATACTACCCACCCCCACACACATTGTTTTAATCTTGAATTCTTGTAGTTTAGTTGCATTTTATAATGCTTAGTTTTGAAAGTGTGAACTTTTATGTTGAATTGAGAATTTCTATCTAGGCTATCCACCATCTAAGCTTGGAATGCATTTCCGAGCATTTGTTGTAATGGAGCAATTTAAAAAAATCGGACATTTACTTTTGCGTCCAGTGATTTTTGCCTGTGAAAGTAAAGTTAACTTGCATTAGTAAATGCAAGGTCTCTTCTTTAGTTCAGAAGTTAATGCAC